TAAGTTAATGTAATAGGAGTGAAAACGTCATAACAGCCATAAACTTGCTAGAAGGTGGGAAATTAAAGTAATTCATCCTGGAGGACCAACTTCATTAGTAGGCTAAAAATAATCTCTTTCCTTAGATTGTGTTTCATTAGACTTATTAACAACAATCAGCCACTTGCTTGGTATAAGAAAATCAGTCATGTTCTAACAAACTGATTAGCTTAAATTGCAAATTGAAAAATGTAGTGTACTATAAGGCGTTAATGTTTGCTCGGTTTAAATTAAATCCATTATGAAATAATATGTTAGAAATAAACATCAGCATGATGATGTTGTTTAGCTGAATATGGTAGCTGGTGCTTTCAAATCCAAGACTGGTGTATTGATTGGCAACATTTTAGCATAAAATCCATAGATAATGTTCATAAAGTGCATGTTCTTCTCTTGAAACATAATTGAAAAATAATTTCTATAAATATTTGTACTTTATATGGATGTCCTGGAGTTATGAAACTCTCACATGGATGATAAATATCTTGCAGGTCATCAAATCAAGTGACATCAACAGAGGCAAATATTCAGAAGCTGGCATATGATTGTGTTGATATCGACTGTAATTGATTTAGAGGCATGTGAGCGTCCTGTTCTCATCACATGACTGATCAGACATTTCAGGTTAGCAGAAGATTGTAATGATATTTGCCCAAGAAGCAAGCTCAAACATGTCTAGCTGTTCGGATTCGTTCCTTCCCCTTTTTCCTGATGTGCAAATGTATGATTTGACACAAGTATTGTTTTTGGCTGGTAATGTGGCTACTCCCACTGAAAGCTAATCAGATTCATTCAGCTACTGACATTACTTTAACCATAACTTTAGGTCTAATTACTCTTCATTAACATACTATATTGATTAGTTACCCTCTTGCATTTCTGTGATATGCAGATTTACCATGCATGTTGCTATAAAAACCAAGAAATACAAGTGTCTTTCACTTCTGGAAAATGTAGCTAATCGCTAAAGTATCTATGTTTTGGAACATAGTTTGGTTCAGGCTGGTCATTAGGTGGACAAAAATGCCTGCTATGTTCCAAAAACCAACCTCGACCACCTTAAGCTGGTATTACCAGCTGCTTGGAATCCAACTACCATCTTAAAGGGACAGTTCAACCAAAAATGAAAGTTAGGGCATTTATTTATTAATTCGTTCGTTTGTTCGTTCGTTAGTTAGTTAGTTCATTCATTCATTCATTAATTCTGTACAACGGCAGTCAATAGTAATCAAAACAGTTTGGTTACTAATATTCCTCAAAATATCTCCTGTTGTGTTCCACGGAAGATATATATATTTCCAAAACAATAAATAAATAAATTAGTGCTGTCAAACAATTAATCGCGATTAATCGCATCCAAAATAAAAGTTGTTCTTTACACAATATATGTGTGTATACTGTGTATATTTATTGTATATATAAATACAAACACATGCATGTATATGTTTAAGAAAAAGATGTTGTTTATATATTAAATATATTTATATAAAATATAAAATATAAGAATACAAATATATAAATGTATATACATGTAAATATTTAAAAATATATACTCTATACATAATAAATATACACAGTACACTATATTTATATATAATATAAAATATAAATATATAAATGTATGTACATGTAAATATTTTCAAAATTCAAAATAATATTTTGTCTTTGGAGTTGGGTCTAATAACTTCTATTTTCAGTGAATAATTACCTATTTTTAAGTGAATAATAAATTAAATTTCTTCACACATATCTATAATATGACTTTTGATGACTTACAATATAGTTCATAAGTCATATGGACTACTTTTATGGTACTTTTGCATCCTTTTTGAAGCTTAAAAACTTCAGTTCCCATTCATTTGTACAAAAAAAAGTTATTAAAAATGTTTGCTTTTGTATTCCATCAAAACATAAAGTTAATTTTTGCGTGAACTATTCCTTTAAAAGCAATAGAATGGAATATTTTATACTGTAAAGGTTCTTTCAGGCTACTAAGAGAAGAATATTTCTGTCTTTTTCTTCAGGTCAGGCTCCTACTATCGCACACCAACCAGAACAAACAGGCCTTCAACCAGCTTTCTAATTGAATCTGTTCTGTTTACAGGAGCTGCTGCATTAGTGTGAAGTCAGCAGAGAGAGAGAGACTAACAAAGATAATGTACTTCCTTTGTAACCTTGTCGGATCTGTCCTCGAGCCATGGTGATGGTAGTCTTGTGAGGGAGAGGCCTGATGTGACGTGGGGCGTCAAAAGTTCAATGAACATGTGACAAAAGAGCAGAGTTGGAACGATTTTGAATTACGTTCTTGCAAATTGCATTAGAAGCAGGTTCTGTCACATGTTTTCCTGATGACTGAAAGAAATTGGACAAGAACGGTTTACTGATGACCTCAAAGCTGATAGATGAACTAAAAGCCACATATCTGATTTCATGTCGTCTATAAAACATATTTGCTACATAATGCGCCAAGTTTTATTATGATAATATTCTGCCATTATTATGCACAAAAAGTCATAATATTTATTTGAACTTCCAGAAAACCGCAAGATATGTGAACACCTGTATGGCATCATAGGTGGTCCTGAGGGCCGAAGCTGTTCAATTGTGAGGTGTGTCACAGTGAACACCTGGAATAGTGCTTCCATGAGTCAGATCATGGAAAGATAAAACCACACAGCATGAAAGAGACAAGTCATTTTTCCTTATTCATACACATAAAGAAATGTATAGTACATTTCTCATTTTTACATATTAAATATTTATTTTATTAATTATTATTTCTATATATAATAATAAATCTCTCTCTCTGTAATGTCATTAAATAACACTTTTTCATATATTTAT